AATATGATAGAACATTTTATAAATTGCTCTTTTTCATTCAAAATGAATTGGGTTTTGCAAATTTAAAACAAACTAAATTCAATTTTTGCTCCTTCTTTATCATGATCAAAATATGAAGAAATTAAAGAGGATCTTTTAATGGGTCTGTTTAACCTATATTTTGTATTTAACTGAATTTTTGGAGTCATTTTGTCTCTCTATGTCTCTGTTCCTTTGTGTCGTGTCGTGTCTTTCTTTCGGCATTAGCCTATGCTGCGGGGGCTCCACTGCTGATGGAAGGGATTGTCTAGTTTTATTAATATGACAGGTGAGCCTGCCCAGCTGCTACCTGAGTGAGCCTCTGTGTGTTTTGTGTGCTTGTGCATGTGGCAAAAAGGAGCAGCTGTCTCATACACGCAAAGCATACAAGGTCTCATTTGAACCCTTTCACGCAGGCATTAATGCCGCATGCAGACTTTTATTTTAACAAACAAATGAAATTTAAAGGACGTAATAATGTGAAGTAGATCAACATCTTTAGTCAATCCAATGGAAGAAATTCACAAGCTCTTCACTTCTTTTCCATCACTGCGCTCATATATTACCAGATTGTTTACTTCCTGGGCTGGTGTAATTTTCACTGCCCCCACTGAGACGGCCATAACATCCCTGCTCTTGTATATACACTTTATGATTCAGCTCGTATGCCGAGGTTCAATACATCCATATTGACTCAGGTAATTGAACACAAGGGACACGAGCTGTATTCATAAAAGAGACGGACAGGCATTGTGGTGAATGCAGGGTTATTGGAACAGCCGTGAAAAGCCTCTGGCTGCTTGATCAACCTTGTTTTTGCTTTGAGAGAGGCGTCAGGCTAGATGTCTGTCACTAACTTCAGTTCAGGCATGATGAAGGGAGAGCAGAGGTCTCCGACCTACACAGATTCATTACCTGAGTGGTTTGTTTTGTCTTGTGGCTCATTGTAGAAAATTAACAGACAATGAAACAGTCCAGAATACCATGACCCTAAAGAACTAACTTGCTTATAAACTTAAACAGGGTTAGAAAGTTGTTTTTTCTGGATATCTTGCAAAACCATAAATCTGAACAATAAATTGGAGAATTATAACACTTGCTTATCAAATGTGTAATTTAGATCAATCAACTTTGACCTTATAACTACTTAAACTAGTTTTTTCCAGGTCACTTAAACATATCCTTACCAGAATTTTAAATGCTTTAAATATTCACTGATGTGTTGAACCTTGAATGTACAAGAAGCCTGTCTTTTGTTTGAATAGATTATTGCTTATTTAAATAATAAATCCTCTAAAGTATTTTCAATTCTTAACTTTTTTTTCTCTTCTAGTTCAAAATTCTGATTAGACAGCTGTCTAATATCTGGCATTTCAGAATTTCTTTATTAATCCCATGCAGGAAATTCTTTTTTTTTACTTTTTCTCAAGTCTGACACTAATTGGTTTATTTGCCCATAGTGAGAAACTCTGTGAAAGAACCATGTGAAGCCCAGAAATGGGCTTCACATGGAAAATAACCGTGCCTAAATGACACATATTTAACTTCAGAAATTAAATAAATAAAAGTTTTTCTTTGCATCGTAAGCTTTTCTGAAATTCTCTAACATAATTCTCTAGCATAACATTTCTTGAAGATTTGTGTTTGTTTGTTTCTCCACTCCTTCGACACGATTTAGAACCTTTTGTTTCGTTAGTGTCTTTTTGTATCTGAACTCATTGCAGCTAAAGGGTGAAGAACAACCTGGGCCAGTATGAATATTTTACAAATGTTTATGCCAACATTTGTTCCATTATTCATCCAAAAAGATAGGCTTTCAGGAACCACAGACACTAAAGTGATCTCCACTTTTGTAATAAGGATGGCTCACTGTAACTATGATTGATACTTATACAGCGATAGATTGTGAGGCTTCGTTAATAACACAAATGAGCCATTTCTTAACACTGCTAACTGTCGAGCTCCTTTCTTAGGTTGTGCTTCTGGTATTGAAAGATTGCAGTTGGCATTGAATTGTATTTTGTCCATTTTTTCCCTTTGAGATTAATCTGGGGATAACAGTCAAAATAAGGCCACAAAACTCCTCACCTTCACCTCTGGATTGACGTATAAACATTTGATAAATCTTTTATCAGTCATATTGTGAATGTTTGATTACAGAGACATGATCATCCTCCTTTTGACCTTATCTTGCAACTTTGATTTACTTACCTGAATAAATTGTGACTGATAAGATTTATTCTTATAGTTTTATTTGAGGTGTTCACTGTTATGGCAATCATGCCTAACTAATTTCCTTCATTTTATTTCTTAATTTGAAAAACAGGCTTTCATCACAGAAAATAACCAATGACCCTTTGTGTTGCAGAGTTGTTGTTTAGGGGAGAAGGTGAGTTTTATTAGTAATCCATGAGGAGTCAACCGACTGTCTGGTGAATGGGCAGAGATTTCTCTGGCCCACTTAGTGTCACGAGAGTCTGGTGATGGAGCCGGTCTGCACTGACCCATGACTGGCATGGCTGACTGCACGGTAATCTCTCTGCTCTGTTGGGGGGTTTTGTCTCGCATCCTTTTAAATGTTGATCTTCTTGCACCAAAACTTTTATAAAATCATCATTAAATATTCAACTGAAATATTTAAGTTGCCACTACAAAGGACAAACAAGTAGGTATGTTACAAAGCTTTGAACAGATGCCAGCTCTGTGTTATCGTTATTGCCTATGTAGAAAGGCAGCAGGCAGAATTAGCACAAAGATCCTCTGCTCTACGAAAAGCCCATTACTCATGATCTACATTTTCCATTGAATAGATTATTACATCTTTCTAGGTGTGGACCTGTCAAAAGGCAAGGGGTTAATGCGGTGCACTGCCGTTTTAAAGCGTACTTTGCTCTTTTCAAATTTTACCATTGTTCATGGCAGATCAAAGGAGGCCTTTCAACATGTCACTGTGTTCAGATAGCTTTCATGTCTTTCCTCATTACTGTAAAACCTTCTTTTAACTGAAGGTCTGAGAGGAGTCTGGACAGACAATTGGGAGGGACCACTTTCACCACTGTATAATAAAAATATAACAAAGATTTTGCCTCAAATCCCTCTTGAGAGAGCCAACGTTGTACTGTGGACTGCAGATTTCTCAAGCAAAGGATTCATAACTCCTCTGTTCAGATTTGGCTCCCAAAAAGGTCAATCCCTGCAAGTTATAAGCAGAAAATCAGAAATGAGATTAACTTTCTTCAGAGGGTCCCTCACAATATTTTCTTTTAGGACTGATTCTGAATGGAGGAATGGATAAATAAATTAAGAACAATCCTGAAAAATGCAGCTTTAAGGAAAACAATAACCGAGGGTTCCGACATTGCTTTAATATTTCACAGTACCTTAAAGTGATATTTTACAGTTTATTACAGTTATCATTGTCCCTGAAAAAATTAGATGTTCTTAAACATATGGATTATATACAACATTTACCAAATGATTCCTATGATGTTGCAATAAAGTGAGATAATGTGGTTCTATTTAAACAACATGCTTTTGAATGTCTTTGTTTTGTTTTTTTGTTTCAGGATTTCACTTCTTTAAACCAGTGTAAAATCCAGATGTCTCAAGTAACAAATTACAAATACTTTTTTATCTTACTTACTTTACTGGAGGAATTATTTTACAACATTCACAACTTTTTACTTCTGTTCCTTACATATATATATATATTTATATATATATATATATATATATATATATATATATATATATATATATATATATATATATATATATATATATATATATATATATATTATTATTATTATTTTTTTTTTTTTTTTTTTTTTTTTTTTTTTGCAATTATCTCAACTTTCTAGTCCTTACATTTTAGACTGTTGTTTCATGTAAGCTCATATCCGTTATGGTTTGTTAGTATAAAAAAAAAAAAAACATCCAAATTTATTCAGACAAGTAATTTATTTGTGGTTGGACTCGGTACTGCACCAACTTGTTTGTCAAATACCAACATTTTTTCAAGATGATGCAAAGTTAAACTTGACACTGTTGCCATTAAATATCGAAGTAATAAAATGTAAGGAAGCTATACCCAGAAAATATTCCTTTAATAGCGTAGTGCAGTAACCCGCATAAAGTTTAAAGCATCTGTCCTTAACATTTTTTCCTGCCTTACTTTTACTTTTATAATTTAAGTAGTTTTAGAAATTTAACCTTTACAGTTTTCCTTCAGTAAAAAGCTGAAGGTAATACTAAAGTTCTACAAAAGTATTTTTAAACAGTAGGATTTCAACTTCTACTTAAGTAATTAACATTAATACTGTTTACACCTCTAGTAAAATTATATACTAAGGAGATCAAGTGGCTAAAAAGAAGCAGAAAGATTAACTTTCCTATAAATATCTTAATGAGGATACATTTATCTTTGGTTTAGGGATTGAAAAACCAAACTGATCAATAAAACAGATTAAAAAGGGCATTAGTGGTGGTGCTCAAATAAATGAGAACAGAATCATCAGAAAAGCCTATATGTTTTTTAGAAATTCAGTTAATTTAATCTGTTATGAAATGCTATAAGTGATAAAGTCTTAAAAGATCATTTGTCTTTCCTTAATCTTATGCATTTCAAGACTTGGAAAAATAATCAGTGCTAATTCTTCAACATGATAGAGGGTTTGAAAAGCAACCGTTAATACAACACATTTATAAAGCTGATTTGAAATTATCAAACAGGCTAAAAAAAGCATGACTTTTCAATGCCCTTGTTTTGGATAGATTTGAAAAAGATATTTGAGCTAAAAGGTCTCTTTAAAAACAAATGTTTTACTTCAGAAAGACAAAAATTGGACACCAATAAAAAGCTTTAATAAAAGTCTAAAGATATCATTTGGAAGAAATGGGGGGATACAGAAAATATTTATAATGATAGACAACACATTTTATTAAGATAATTTTTTTTATTATTTACACATGATTTGACAGCGTTTTTTTGTTTTTGTTTTTTGTTTTCATAATTTTCCATTTTTTTCCATCACAGTGATAACATTTTATTCCAGGGAGCAATAATATTATCCAATCTTTTCTCATGGAGATGGCAAAAAAAAACAAAAGAGTGAATCCTCAGATTTTTCTTACAATACGATTTAGCCTGTAAAAGTCAGAAAACCCACAGGAAAACCTATGTTTAATTGATCATTGGGAAGTTGAAAAAGAAACCATCCTTTTTTTCTGCTTTTTCTGTTTTTTTATGAAACACTTTTATCCCCTTTATCCTTCGATGGCTGCTTTACAGGTTCAAAATGCAATTTTTAAGAACCAAAAAACCTGCCTGAGATGACAGGAATATTAAGTGATAAGGAAATAAAGCTGTCCCTGTGACCTGGCTTGAGTACCGAATTGAAATTGAAATACCAGCACCTGATGTGAATTTTCCACTCTGATAATTTTTCCCTTTCTCAGAGGAACCAGCCAATAAGAGCTAAATCTTCTGTTCCCTTTATCACACACTGTTCATTTGTCTTCCAGCCGGAAAAGCTGTGTTAAGATAACGCCATCCTATCATCTGATTGTCTTATCAAAGTGGAACGACACAGCCCCCCCGCATCACTCTGATGAAAAGGTTAAGAGCTATAAAGGCCTTTTTGTTACAGTTTGTGGCCAAAATATGGAGCTTTTTAAACTATAAGCCTGTATTTTAATCAGATAACTTATTTGGCATTATCCTAGTTATGTACTGTACAGCTATACTTAAGTCCTGGGTAATTTCTTATGGCCTGCTCTTAACATTTCAAGAGCCAGAGTGTGCAACCTTTCCGCAGCATTTGACACCGGGGTCAGTGGTATTGCCCCACTTGAACTAAAAGACATTTAGTTTAGTTTAGAAAGTGAAAACACGGACACCATTAATTTGTTTGCTCACCCACTAGTCATGACCGCAGCAAATGCCATCACCTCAAAGAAGTGGTCGGCAGTCCTCACTTTTATTTGTTTGTTTCTTTGGAGAGTGTGAGAAGTTCTGGAGCCTGGCTGTGGCGGTCATTACATTTGTGCAAGGGAAAGGGGGGGGGGCTTTCGGAGACCATGCAGAAGAAAGCTATAGGCAGCTAGCAAACAAGTTAGCTGGTGACAGAGCGGGGGGTTGAGGAGGTGGTGATGGCGCTGGGAGGGGTGGGGATTCATTTAGCCAGGCATAGCTGCTCTTGTTTGTGGTTGTCCCTGACAGCGTCGGCACCGCTGCTCCAAAGCACCTGTGTTTGCTCACTAGCTTTCCCTCAATCTGCTCGAAAAATGCTGTGAGCATGTCACATGGTGGCCAGATAGCCTGGGCACCATGGGAATACAAAAGCCGGGGCTTTTAGAACAGTTAATCATTAATAGAGGCCTCTCTTTTGTTCCCATTCAGCTCTGTGCTGACAGAGGCTTTGATATTACATATGGCAGACAGGTCAGACACAGATATAGCCAAATACATCGACAGGAAGGAGTTTTCAGCTTGAATGATGCAGGGAGATGAAAGTGAGGAGAGCAGGAAGTTGAACATCCAAGAACATCTGTAGAGGGGGGAAATAGAGATACGCTGTCACATTATGACCATTTATATTAGTTTAAATACATACAACAGTTGAAATTGAGGTGCCTATGCATAATCATTAATCTTTTTGATTCTGCAGCAGCCTAATCTCTGTAAAAAGTAGATGTTCTTAAACATATCATAGCAGATTATATTTCAATTTTACAAAATGTTTCCCATGATGTTGCAATAAAGTGAGATAATGTGGTTCTATTTAAACAATAAGTTGGGAGGGTGGCATAGCATTTGTATGTTATATCTTAATGTAATTACCTTACTGTGCTTCGTGCTTAAAAAGTCGATTTACTCTCCGCATACAAATCTTACATTCACTAAATTCTAATATTTTGTAGACTTAACTATCTTTTGGGCAAATTTATGTAAAAAGGTTAGAAATATTTAATATCTTACATTTATATAACTCTAATAAAGTCTTCATTTAATATAAATGCAGCTTAGTCGCCATATTAACCATGTTTAGTGAACTTCAATGCCAAAAATCTTTGAGACTTTTAAAGATTCTAGATTGCAAAACTTTAAAAGTCAATGTATTTGCATTTGATAGTTATTTGTAATGAAAGCAATGATCACTTATACAGAAAAGGGAGTTAGGAGACAATGCAACAGAGTTATGTTCATGTATCAAGCATGTGCTGCAAATGGTTCATGTGCAACGTTTCTGCAAAGATAACTGCCTGGAAATAAGTTAAGCCAAAATAAAAATGAAGACTGGGACTTTAACATATTTATTCTAATAATTCTAAGCAAAATAAAATAAAAAACTATTACTAATTTATTCCCAACTTTCCTAGTTTTGTTTTTTTGATACACCAGTAACAGTGATGGACACCAGTTAAAATTGATAAAAGTCAATGAAAAAGGGTTTGGATCATTAAACTATATCATTTCACTGTGCTTTACTCTCTATACTTCCTCCACAAAGGAAGATCATTTGTGCTGCACAACATCTGCTTCCATTTTCCACACAAATAATCACCTGTTTATAATTAGAACAGTTTAATAGTTAATAAAAAGGAGCTGGCATGGTGGTCATGTAAAGCGTCTCACTAACAATCACATTTAGCTTCCCAAGACCAACTAATAAGAAGGTTTTACAGTAAATGAAGACGTTTATAGAGCAATAATTCTTTTATTATTCAACTCAGCTCACATTGCATGGTTAATTTTTAACCATTAAGCAACACTCATACATTCAAATATGAAAAGTGAATGAAATAAAATAAATTTATGGCATCGCAACTGACCGGCAGGATGGCATGAAAAGAAAAAGTCTTTTGGACTAACTCTACAATTAATTAACATCCCCTAATCTCAGTTTGCTCTTCATCTTGAACCGTGAATGAGAAGTCTGGGACTCATTTCAACTTTGTCAAAGTCAACTTGGGAGAAAGGGGACTAATACAAATGTATGAACTTGCTTTCACAAAGCAGGGCCAGATTTATCTGGAAGGAGGGAGATTAGGTTTGCACAGCCACATTCATATGAAGCGCTAAAAGGGTCAGAGACAAGCTCTTATCTTCCTTTTACCTCTGCATGCCAGTGGTTCTTTATTGAAACTTTGTCCCAACCCCATCCTAACCTCCCCTTCAGTGCTAATAATGTTGTATGGGGACCTGAAGAGGATAGTGGGACCACAAACATTTACGGCTGAAAATGCAGCACGAGTGCAGGCAAAGTGGCCACTCGATCCAGGATGCTCAGTGTGCCAGGAGTCAATCATTAACGTGGCACTTTTAGCCATATCTGCTCTCTCTTTCTCTCTCACATTGAGTGGAAGCGGAGAAGATAAATGAAGGTTGTGTTTCGGGGAATGAGGTAAAGCTCCAGCTAACGAACTTTGGGTGCTTTAGCAAACATACCAGCCCACACATTTTTCCCTTTTGAGATGACAGAAGTCGCTTTAATCAAGCCAACAGTGAATGTTTCTGCTTGCATCACCAGAAGAAATTCTCTTAAATCTCCTGATATGCATTAATTCTGTTGGTTTTTCGTTTTAGAATCATTTAAATGTCAAATAACACTTTTTCCGTCATCCAACATTGTCTTTTCGGTCCGTTTCAACTTGATGCAAGCACTTAACCAGAAAATATTTAAAAAAAAATACTTCTTTGTCATGTGAGAACGTCATGCAGCTATAAATCTTTCCTGCCTCCATGCAGCTCAACTTCTCTACAGTGTGTTTGTTTGCTAACCCTGGTCACTGGCGATAAGGGCCACCAATGTCTTTAAACTGTACTGACTAGCCTTGGCGAGCACTTTGCGCTGTGGAACCTGAAATGGGAGGATAAAGATACAGAACAAAAAAAGTTGTGGAGCTAATAAATCCTCCATCTCACTTTTAAGCAAATGATTTCGGTTGAACTTAGTCAAACGATGAGCTGAACAAATGTATGTTTCCAACAAAAGTTCCTGGTTCAAGAGGGAAGGAGTACTGCTGATGGATGGCTTGGCAAACATAGTTGACATACCTGGGCAATGCCACGGGCCGGTCACAGTGCAGGGCTGAGAGGGGACATTGTGTTTGAGTTTGTGTGAGCATGAGTGCATCAGCAAGGCCCCTCCAAAGCTATCCCTCTTCCCTCTGAGGCTTCCTCTCCCTCCTCTCCTCCGCTCAGGCCGTGGGGATCACTTCATTCAGCAGAGCCCTGTTTGACAGAGACACAGCCTCCATATAAATCCCATCCTCCTATTTATTTGATGTGCAGTTCTACTAGGACGCCTTCGATCCGTCCTCAGGGAGCCCGCATCTCAAAACACTCAAATAGTCTGGGTGTACAGATAAGCGCGGGGACGGAATTATACTCCCAAATTCACAAATCCTTGTAGGGTTTTCTTTTTTTTTCTGTTTCCGTTTTAAAGCATATTTACAGCGAAAAAGTTTTATAAAATGTCTTTTATACCATAGTACCAGAAAAATTCCAAATATTTTAATAAATCTTAGCATTTCTTTGGGCATTTTAAGCACACAAAGAAAACTGAGAAAAACTCTTTTTTTTTTTTTCAAGTGAAGTTTGGATGGTCAGATGGGTCATTGCATCCAGGTAGAAGAGTGGGAGACCGTAACAGGGGAACACCCAGGAATGTTTGGTTAAGTCGCTCGTCACATTCAAGCTTGTGTGTCAAAGGTGTTTACTGGGTGTTGACATTCACTCACTGCTAAAGAGGTAATTTGATGGTATAGTGGTGTCTTTTTAAGATGTGTGTTAAATAAAAATTTTTATTGCACCGATTATTTAATTTAAGAAAAACAATTCAGCACAAATAAAGCATAGTTGTAACATGTCATTAAATGTAAAAAACACACACATATTTATATATATATATATACACATATATATATGAATATGTGTGTGTGTTTTATACATTTAATGACATGTTGAAATTGTGTATTAAATTATGTGTTATTTACATTATATATATATATATATATATATATATATATATATATATATATATATATATATATATATATATATATATATATATATATATATATATGTAAAAAAAAATTACCTTTTTACAGTGCATACATTTTGTGCCACAGTGATCACAAATACATCACCCAAAAGATTTTATTTAAATTTAATTCATTAAAATAAAACATACTGTGTATAGTTACTTAATTTACTATTCTTACTTTTACATTTTTTTTTTGAAAAGCACAGTCAAGATTGTTTTTTGAAATAATGTCTTAAATCATTTAATCTATTAAGCCAACAGTACTATATAAATAACATTTAAACTGGGTCACACTGACCAGTGGTTATGTTAACCCAGCACCGGATCAAACCGATGACCCACTAACCTCATCAGTTTTGAACCAAGAGCTATTAAAAGTGTTTATGTAATGAAATATGAATTAAAGTGTTATTTTTTAAATAAGTTCTAAGACACTTGCTTTTCTGTATAGTTTACTTCCCTATTAATTAATAAAAATTATGTTAAAATAAATGTTTCACATTTTTCTAAAATATATATATATATTTATTTTTATTTTATTTTTTATTCCTATTTTTCTAATCATTGCAGTAAAATGTTTAATTTACCATTTAGTAAAAACTAAACAGTTTTACTTCATGAGATTTTGCTTTTATTAAAATGCTTATTATACAAACAAAGCCTGATTACACAGGAATTGAGGTTTATGATGCAGAAACATGTATATCTTCTGATTATATGTTTTCCAATTTCCCTGTGGCTCCTTAGCAATAAAACAGCTTTGCAATCAAGCGCAAATATTAGCCACATGTGATACTTATATTTGAATATCGACAGATTTAAAACGATTGCAAGTTATAATCTAAAACACACATATACACATATATGTGGGTTTTTTTATGGAATTGAAATGTTCATCTCACTGCTAAGCTGCTGCTCATTTACTGTCTGAAAGCTGAACAAAATGAAACTTAGTTTTGTTTATATATATATATATATATATATATATATATATATATATATATATATATATATATATATATTAAGATATACAAAAAACTGTGCGACTGATAATTCGTTTTTTATATATTTTTTTATATATCATGCAGTGCATTTCTTACATTTTTCTGAAACTGGTACTAAAATTCAATATTACCTTGCAATCTTTCTAATATAATTGTAGCTTTTTTTTAAATGTAGTTGAAATCAAGAGGCTTGTCATCCAGCTGTCTGTCCTTCTATTTGTCCATGTTTCCTTCCACCTGACCACCCACTTAGAGCCATGTCGTTGGGAGCCAGTGCTCCTCTCCACATCCCACCACCTCTACGCAGACCTACAGGTGACAAACAGCTAACCTGTTAAAGTGCCTGGACATCCAATTACTCTGGGTCACATCACCTCCACGTTTAGCCACTGAACCAAATAGCAGGAGAACCACAGGCACCCCTCAGACAGTTTCAGGTAATTGGAGCAGTGTTGTAAGTTTCCTATGACTCACGCGGCTCTTTTCTCCACCCATGAATGCTGGAAGATTGTAGGTCGCGGTTAACTTTAGAAACAGAGTCCTCACAGCTCATAAATTACACGGCAACGGACAACCTTAAGCGGTGTTGAAATTCCTCGAACAGAGCTTTATTTCAGTGCTGCTGGAGCGTGAAGCTGGGAGCACCACCCCACAAGGAGCCTGGCTCTCACAAGCACACATAAGACAGCTATTTATCTTGCCGTACCTGAGGTCTGACATGCTGGCAAAGCACTGTTGGTGCACCAAAGGCGGATGCGAAAACAACCACTTACTGTTTCCTAATGATGCTGCTTTTTTAGGGTGCTTTCGCAGCAGCCATACCTTTATCTTTTCTTCTTTGTTTTTTCATTGTAATGAATTCTGGTCCCACATTTCAAATTTCTGTCCCCTCCTAAACAAAGGGTTTTCCTTCCTGGGACCTGCCTTGGCACAGCTTCTGGCTCTTTGAAACCTGATCTTATAGATTAAGAGCTTAGCCATTAGAATAAACCATTGTGAAGTCATTATGAGTCGTATTTTTACATCTGCAAAAAAAAAAAGAGCAGTTTTCATGCTACGTCTGTGAGTAAGAAAGGCTTTTTGTGACCACAGATCATTACTCTCTTCAAATACATCTTCACCCCATGGAAAAAAAGGAGTTTACACAATATATGAGCTTGATACGAATGTGACAGTAAAAGCAAGCAAGAAACATCTCTTTTTTTTCCTATGGGCTGCTTCACAACATCATATTGTGTTGAAATCATCCCCAGTCTGACCACCCAAGGGGTCCTGACACCACAACCTTTACAGAGGGGGATGGGCCTCTCTGTGTGTTTGTATTTTGGCAAGTGTCTGCTCACATGCATGAATATGCTCCTCCGTCTTATGCGTATCGATCCTCCTATACATTTCACCTCTTCTCTGTCTTTTAGTTTGTTTGTTTGCAATCCTTTTTTTATTCTCCACAGCCTCTGCCTCAGAAGCAGGCTGCTTCCCTTTCCTGCCCCGCAGACGCCTTTAAACCGATTGAGTCGGAATACACATTCGGCAGAGAACCCTTCAATGTAAATGCAAACCAGCTACTAACTAACCAGCTTTTATAATGGACACATCTTATTTTCCTCCCATAAGCCCTCCAAAGCTTTTTCTGTTAAGTCTTTGTTAGACTCCAAAGAAGACACCTGACTCAGGTTTGATTTATCAATGAATCTTTTTTCTTATTAAGAACATGGTTTTCCTGTTAAATCCAGATGCAAAAATATAACTGTTAGTAAATTTCAAATTTTAAAAACTTTAAAAATATTGAAAGATTTAATGCTAAACTCAGGCTTTTGGTCTCGATTTTTATTTAACTATTTTTATGCTTTGTTTTATTTCGTTTTTTTGTAACATGATTGATGGGTTTTTTTGTTATGTGATCATAACATTATAACAATAAATGAATGCTTATTAAAAACACCCATAACCCTTAAATCTATGGCATCAAGATATATTCTTTTATATAACTCTAACACTCCAGGTTAATTTGCTTAAAAACTGAAATAAATCAATTTCAATAAACTAAGATCCCTTAAAAGAAAAAAAAAACGTTTTTTTTTATAATTTTAATAAAATTTATTTTTTGACATTCCATTCTTTTTTTTTCTTTTAGTTTTATAATAATCAATACTTTAGGCTTATTTGATCATTGGATTATTACTGCCAAAACTATTCAGCATGGGTTTTATAGATAATGGCTTCTGCAGCTCTATGACACCAAACAAAATGTTTAACCGAAAAAAGCTTTTTGAAAAAAATTTGTTTATTTTGCTTTAAAATTGTATTTTCTAAAAAAGATTTCTAGGATGTTTAACATTATTAAGGCCCCCCCCAAAAAAAATTATTTAGCATCAAAATATTTTTTTTATGTTTCTATTTTCAACTTGTTTTCCCCTCTGATATTATAATGAATACATTTGGTTTTATACAATTATTTCACCAAGAAATTAAATAAATATTAAAAAGATTCATTATTTAATCCTAAAGGTTTTTACAGAAAGCAGCAGCTTTGTTAAAGAGGCACAGGTCTCTGAAGTTGTGTGAAAAGTATACTTTTGGCTTCACAGACTGAAGTTAAAACTCAGCATTTTTGATCACACCCTGTTCTTGACTTGTGCTTCAATCTCCAAGAAGAAGCGAAAGGTCAGCCCCCCCCATGGCCTAAACCCTGCCTTTTATGGCAAAGTGGAAGCGATTCAACCACTAAACGAGCACACATGCAAGCAAAACAGATACACATGCGATAACCTGTTCAATTAGACAACACCCACCACAACAAGCAAAAAGTAGACAGATAAATGACCATACAGTATGCTGTACAATGGGAATTAAAAGTATAGGGCAGCTGGGCTCTTATCTGGCCAGGGAAGAAGAAACCAGGCAACAAAGGGAGGCCTACGACTAAGAGGCTGGATGCATGGGAAAGCCATGGGCCGGCCATTGTGGCTGCCCTTCTGCTGAGCAAATAGTCCAAACTGTTCATTCCCCATCTCCTATTCTCTTGCCGGTACATTGTTTGTGTCCTTGCATTTCATTCTGACTGGGGAAGATTGCTCTCAGGGCCAGTGAGCAAACAGTCCAAAAAAGAGCCGGCTATCTCCTGGCGTTCCCAGGAGAACTAGCATTTTTATTTCGGCTCCAAGCTGTCAAAGGATTGGAGA